TCCCTTCCATACTAGTCCTTTCTCTCTTCCCCACCCCCTTTCTATTGATGGACAGACGCGCACGTACACTGAGAAACATGGTGACATGATTCCAAAAGCAATTCTATCCTCACCCTGACGGGAGGTTAACTGTGACGAGAAACCGATTGACACAAAACCAAGATCTGCTATGATGCCTGCCCCTGCTGAACCTGCGACGCTGTATTAATCCCGCCCTGCTCGGCTGTCCAGTGCCCGGGGCGATTCATGCACAGCGGAGACCTGTACAGTGCCACCATCCCCTTCCACAGTCCTTTTTCTCTCCCTCCTCTTTCGCGTTATACTATGTCTTCGTGTGGCTGCTGCGTCCACAGTGTAGCGTAGTATGTGCAATCGTTGTATAATGCTTCTTTATGGTTTCTGGAATGTGAGTGTTTGTGCTTGTTAGAATTTTGATGCTTTGTTGCTTTCTTCTGTAGTTTCTTCTACGAGTGGTGTTTCTAATTGTCCTTGTATTGCTTGTGGTTCTTTTTCTCCCTTTCTCTTTTGTGTATTCCCATGTCTTTTTTTTTTTTTGAAGTAGTACCGGTGAAATCGTCAGGGTTATCTGCAGGAGTGCAGTTTGTGGAGGCAGCTACTGTTATTGTTGCCGTTGCTGTCGTCGTTGTTCTTTTTATTTATTTGGCTGTGTTGATTTGGTATGCCGAAGATTCGACCTGGTATGAAGCGCCCCCCACCGGGGTTTGAGCTTATCTCTGATAAACTTGATGAGTATGACGAAGATATGCGTCAGGCGCTTTCGGACGACCCAATGCAATCACAACTTCCACTCAGCAAACAAAACACGAAAAAAAGTAGCTCTAATAAGGGTGTTGTTGTTGGTCAGAAGGATACTGAGAAGAGCGAGGATACTGTTGAGAAAGTAGGTGATAATGATGAAGATTATGAAAAACCATTACCACCTCTTTGGCGTGTTGCTCGCATTAACCGGGAGCGAACCCGATATGTTTATGATGCCTGTTACCGTGAAAAGATGATTTCGAGTGAGGTGTTGAATTACTGCTGTGAGATGAACTTTGTGGATGCCGGTCTCGTACGGCGGTGGAAGCTTCCGGGGTATGAGCGGCTGTGCTGTACGGCCTGTTGTGTTCCCGGCACCGCGAGTGCGGCGGCACGATTGGTGAATAAATACGCAAATCGCCACAAGACAGACCGGCGTGGACGATGTGAGGATGAACATGATGGGACGTGTATTTGCCGCGTACCGGCAGAGCAGCGACGCAACAAACGATTTGCCGGCTGCACTGTGTGTGGGTGTACGGGATGTGGCTCTGGTGAGAAGAGAGAGCGGGACTCTTTGGCTGAGAAGAGTGAAGCGGCAACAGCCGCAAAGATTATGCGCAACGAAAAGGAATTGGAGGAATGAAAAAAAAAAGGAAAAGAAAAAAGATATATGCGTCCAAATTCGTGTGGGTGAATGGATTGAAAGTATCTTCACTCTACAGGATGGCCGCAAACTCTATATATATTCCCATTGATTAATATCTTTTTTTTTGTTTACCTATTCCCAGGTCTCTCCCACTAGTATGATTCCCTCAATACGAATGATTTTCTTCTTTTCTCTCTCTCTCTCTCTCCCACTCTCTCCCTTTTTCATATATCTGCGGGCATTTGCTTTTCTTCTCGACCCTTGCGTGACATGGTACATTATTTCTTTATGAATTCAGTGGTGTATTTCCTCACGCACTCAGTATACTAAATATACCATGTACAGTATGCGGTCAAAGGTATAGTGTCATAACAACCAAGGAAGAAAAAGAAAAGATTGTAGGACACACTACATGAATATAATCTCTTTTTAAATTATAACATCATAAAAAATAATAATAATAATAAATATATGATGATAAACGTCCACATTTCTGAGATGCACCAAGCGATGAGTTTACCGACAACACAAATCACTCCACTCTGACGTCACCTCCCACCCCCAACCCCACTCACCACACATGCACAGCAGACTCAGTACTCCACTGAAGAATGGTGCCTTTCTTTTTCTCGAGAAGCATTCGAATGCGTTGTTGTCATGTATTATACGAAAGCCATAAAAGAGTCAACCCAAACAAAACCCGTATTTGTGAGGCCAAAATGATGAATAAAAAATGGATCGCTGACACTGAGTACAACCACATGCTTGACAACACATTTACAAATCATATCAACTGATTCATGCAGAGCACCTCGTAACCTCTGCACCCCCTCTCCTCTCTCTCCTCTTCCCTTCCATACTAGTCCTTTCTCTCTTCCCCACCCCCTTTCTATTGATGGACAGACGCGCACGTACACTGAGAAACATGGTGACATGATTCTAAAAGCAATTCTATCCTCACCCTGACGGGAGGTTAACTGTGACGAGAAACCGATTGACACAAAACCAAGATCTGCTATGATGCCTGCCCCTGCTGAACCTGCGACGCTGTATTAATCCCGCCCTGCTCGGCTGTCCAGTGCCCGGGGCGATTCATGCACAGCGGAGATATTTGGTGTTTTTATTTCTATTTTAAATATTGAGTTTGTGGTTAAAGATAAAAGGGAGATGGACGATGTTATGATTTTAATTTGTGTTTATATATTCTTTGTTTTCATTTATCTTGTTTAATGTCTTTTTGTTTTTGTTTTCGAAGTTATGTTGAAATTCTTTTAAAACCCCTGTGTTTGTCAGTTAACTTGCTTTTTTTTTCTTTTCGTTCTGTTTGAAGATACAAGATAAACGGATAAATAAATAATGGACGAGGATGAATATCAAGATAATGTGCAAGTGGCCAAAAGTGATGCAGGAGCAGAACGACCAGAGCGGTTAACGTTGATTGAAAGGCACGACAGTTCTCAAGCTTTTGCGGATATGGTACTGGAGATGGCCCAACAAATTCTTGATAAGATGCCTCCAAGTTACAGTTACAAAGATGTTGCTACCAAGTTAAAAAAGAGATTAGATGCTGAGCAGAATGGTACCTGGCATGTTATTGTTGGTTCTCACTTTGGTGCAAATGTAACAAATGATGCCGAAACGCTTGTTAACTTTAAGATTAACGAGATGCATCTTCTTGTATTTCGTTCTGGGCCTCCAGAGCGTCCACTGGAAATAGAGGAGGAAAAGGAATAGAGTGAACGTCAACGTTAAGTTTGAGATTTTTTATTGGATGAAGCATTCGTGAAAAAAATTATTTTTTTTTTTCCCCAACGGTGTAGGCGTTTATATATGTATATATGAGGTTTATTCTGTTGATGGAAGCATGTTCAGCGATAGCGGCGAGTCTTCTGAAGGTGTGATTAGTCGTTTGTAGATGCTTTCGTTTTCATGTTTTTCACAAAAAAAAA